GATAATTAACTTCTAACCCATGATGTGACACAGTAAAACTTCCCAACTGTCAAGGCTATTTCGGGTTCCTGTGATTCGAATACTTCATACCTTGGCTTGTTTTGAAGCTCTCGGTTCCCTGCATCTGATCGAATTGGTTTGGGTTTCTATGACTTCTGGATCACGTTTCGTAGATGGTTGAAGTTTCAATTCTTATATAGTATTAATAATACATTTTGGGATTCACTGGGTAGCTATGAATTCTTACATAACAACTTACTAATTTCTTACCTCCTTTAGGTTCCCAGAACCAGAAACTAGTATTCTGTAGGTTGCCAGGTTATCATCATTTCTCACGCCACTTTGGTAATGTTGCCTCCACAAGATTCTTTCGTGGTTATATCCAAAATAATTGGCTTTACGAATTTCTGAATAACTACGCATCCTGTGATCAGAATTTCACGAAATTTGGTTTGGTAAATGTTCAGAACCTGCTAAATCCAGATGTTCAATCCTCATCAAAATTGGGTCATTGGTTGACGAGCTATCCGCATTCCAAATTCGTTACAGCAAATCGGTTTTTATGATAATTCCCTTGAAGCTTTGCTTTTGTGGGAGATAACCTAACCATTTTAGTGAGAAAAATAATGGTAAACTTTTTGCCTGAAAGCCTTGACCGAAGGAGGGTGTTAATACCTTTTGACTTTATTGATTGATTAGAGACCTGCATGTTAATACAGCTTAATTTCAGAATTGCGAAGATCTAAGACTTTCATGTTTTACAATGATCAACTGCAAGTCCCTAGTGATCAACTGTGGAAGAAATAATAATTATAAAAAGCTGGGTAAATTATAGGTATCTGTAAGAAAAAAAAATTCTTTCAAATAGTGTACATTTTAACACTACCAATTCAATCAATCAATCTTTTGCACATAAAATTCATATTAATCAAAATATAATTTTTGCGTAGTAAACTATCAAACAATCAATCAATTCTAAAACAAAAAAATTAATAAAATGCTATTCTCAGTCATCTCCCTACTTGCACTCTTCTGTGCTATAGTAATAATCTATAAAATGATTCAGGGAGTTATAACTATTAAGAATCTCCAAGCTATTTTTTTGGGAACTTTAATCCTATATATAATTTTTGCTAGAGCATTCATCAAACAAAAGACTGGAAGAAATAGTGATCTTTCAAGATCCATTCTGGTCCAATCCCTTTGGGACTCCTTAAATAATAAACCTCAGAATATGCGTACTGAGAATGAATGGAGGAATGAAACGATTTTACAAGGTATGATTAGATTTTGCTTGCAAGTGTTTGGTAACCAATATGATTTTCTGAAATTAATATGCATTTTTTTTTCCTCTGCTATAGCCAGCTTCAATAGATATTCATCTATAATGATGGATAAAATCTTTTTACAGATTGAAAGGGAGGAAAAGGAGGAGACAAAGAGAGTTAGTTTTGCATAAAATAGTAGCAATAGTAGTAGTAATAGCGATAATAGTAGTTAGCAATAATAATAGGAAAAATCAATTAGTTCAATAATGCAAAGAAATGACTTGATGCTAGGGACTCTCATTTATGGCCTAGGATCTGAGTACTCCTATCCTCTTAGTTCCTTTATGATTCTATGGGTATCATTTCATTTTATACATTATTTTTATAGCTTTCTTTTTTATAATTCTTAGCCAAAATGGCATTTATCTAAAAATTTAATAAAGTGACCCTTGATGGTCGATTAAAAAAATATTTGAACTATCACTGTAATATATAAAACCTTTTCTATTATAGAATCAGAAAATCATAAATTGCATTGTCAAGTTGTAGATTTACATTATGAGAACACATATATGCAGAAATTTACAGAAATGCAAGCTGAAATAATCTCATTAAAACAGCAAATTTCTGATCTTAAGAAAAAAAATAAAAGGTTTAGCCAGCTTATATCTAGTGAAAAATTAAGCTCTGATGAAGAAGAATATTATACAGCAGATGAAGGACCAGACTATATATTTAATTGTTATTGTAAATATTGTAAACAAAGCTTTAAATATCCTTATTTGCTTAAACATCATCAAAAAATGAAAGGTAAATATGCAAAAAAATAGTCTAAGCCAATGTTAACCAAATAGGTACCATAATTTTTTACTAATCTGATCACTTGTTTGATTAACCCTATCACTTGTTTGACTAACCTGATCACTTGTCAGACTAATCTGCTTAATGCACATATTTTTTAACTTCATGTGTCTTTTAAGAATAGAGGGATATTAGAACTCCTTTTCACAATACTGACATGTCCAATCATTCAGTTTTTTTTATTTCTATAGAAATGTTCTCTTTAGAATCCTCCTTTTTCACAGTAAAGACCACTAGTCAACCGATGACAAATAGAGGACCAATCAAGTCAAATCTGGATTGCCAGATTAGACCTGATTAGTCCCCTATTTTTTTTGTTTTTTTAGAATCAGGTGATCCCGATTGATGACTATTAATGATGCAAATAGAATACAATAATGTTCTAATCGAGGTATTATAAAGATATCAATAGGGTTATTCTTATTGATATCAATTTATTAACATTCATTTTCTAATCAGGTTATCCCTAAGTCATCAATAGGGATATTCTTATTATTACTTATTATATAAATAGCATATCCAAATTGGTAACATTTTATTAAATTTTTATAATACAGGTAATTTTATAATTGTTTATTTTATACAAGTAAGTAATCCCA